ACCGCCCACTTTTGTCACCCCCACATTTTTTTCTTCTCGCTTCTTACATTAATTTTGACTCCCTTTCGATCTATGATTTTATTATTTTTTTTGATTCTGATCGATCTCTGTGTGCGTGTAGGCTTCTTGGAGCGTTTTGATACGCTACCAGCACTAAACCCTCACAACATGTCCCTGTTGGAAACCAGGAGTTGCTGCGCAGCATGCTCTCGGAAGTGCCTCGAATGTTCTGTCATGTCTCCTAGTCGAAGCAAGTTCCTAGCCGGAGATGTTTTGTCGGTGAAAAGATTTTTTTTTCTCCCGCAGGGACTAGTGTTACTAGTGATGTGGAAGGGGAAAACTTTTTCTCTGCACGCTAGTATTAGGGGAGGTGGATGAAAGTTTCTCCACATGTTTGGGAGCTCGGGTGAGAAGAGATTATAAGTCCTGTATTTCTTTCTTCTCTTCCTTCAAGGAATGGAGGTCATTGACGTTCCCAAATTGTTTTCCTTCCTACCTTATCGGTCTTTCCTCTCTCTCACTATCGCTACTCTCTTTTATGCGAACCGAAAAGCCTTGGTTGAAGGCGTACCTTGTTGCATTATCTGTGAAAGTTCTAGCAGCACTCCCGCTTACTATATTATCTTCGACTATACCGGTATCGCCTGTATGGTGCCAGGACTGTGGAGGAGTAGTGAAAGTGCAATCACAATAGGCTCGAAGCGCAGCGGGGTGTGGAAGGATGGTGAGTTGGGCGATGGAGATACGAGCGAATGACAGGCCAGATACATACCAGAACCTCTAAACTGCTAACAGCGCCGGGGGCCAAAAGAAACTCGACGAACTCTAAAGAAACATGCCATCCTGACAAATAATGATTCTCCGTGACCCTCCAACAACCTCGAACTCCCCGGATATCCCATGACACCTCGAGCCAGGTACCGTACGGGTATTAGCTGAAGAACAAAACCTCGGAGGACGTCTAGATTTCCCCTCTAGGTAACGCGTGGTTTTATTTTGCTGGGATTTTCTCCCGTCCCCGCCAAAATAGGAAAGTCAGACGTCCTGAGATGTGTTGCTCTTATTCAAGTTAATACAGTAATAGCCTAGAGTGTGGAAAGCAACGAAGCAAATCCCTCATACCCGATGCCCCATGGCAACCGCATCAATGGAGCCAAAAACTCCTACCCCGTGCCGTATCGACACGGGATGTGAAAGAGCGAAGCCACTACCCTTATAACCGCACATCTCCTACGGTAGCCTCATTCCCGAAAGGCAATCCAACAGCCACTCGGTGGCTAGGGCGCTACACACGTCCCCTCTCCATCTCCATCAACTTTGTGCTTCTGGACGAGTGGGTGTTATATCATACGAGAGAGGCTTTCGTACTCTAGGCACCAGTACCGTGCTCCTACTGTGTTAACAAGGCTCGAGTGGGTGGCTTTTGAGTATCCAATACCATGTGGCTCAGTGCTATGCACTTTTTTGATCATCATGCAAGACGCTGCTGATGCGCGATTGCCAGCTCAGCCGCAAACGGTATACGAGTATGATACCGGCATTGTACGAGTAGTGGTTGCCTTAGACCAGCTCGTGATTTTCCCGCGGTCCCGATACCGTGCTCTGCTGTACTTCTCAGCCTTGTCTCTAAATTTCTCGGACCATTCATTTCACAACCCCGGGCTGTACAGTGCAGTGCAGTGCCTAACTTACTAACAACCAGAGAACCGGAAGAGTCTTTCACTTAACTGCCTTCGGATATGCTTCTCGGGATATCGCAAATTTTATCATAATTTGTTCCACTGGATAATAAGAAAGAGAGAGCTAGCGAAGCCTTTTCAACGGTTGGAGGTATTTGGGAAGGCAAGAGAACTTTACCGATGCGACTGTACGAGTAACTTACCGTACTGTGCTAATACAGTATAGGCATGCGAAAGTGATCTCTTGCCAACACTTTCCCGATCACGTGATGGTGTTTATAAGGATTGAAGAAAAGCAAATTTCGGGCATTATGAGCAGTTGCGTCGAGAGTCTCCCCCAGCATTATTTTTATCCAGATATATCCACCGTTTGACCCCATTGAGTGCTTTGGACGTCAGAAGGCTTAATTTCGAATACCCAACACTATCCAACCCCTAAAAAATTCTTTTGCCAAAAGTCTCAACCCATTATAATAATCCAGTACCATAACCCAATGCACTCTAGGTTATTGGATCGGGTATGCTTATCCAACGGAGTTCGGTATTATATGATATCATAGACTTGAGTAGAGGATAGACTATACTCCACCACCACCACGACCAACCTTTCCATCACGATACTACTCACGAGACAGGAGCGCACCCCGTCCCAACCTAAAATCTTTCTACTCCCGGACTTTTGTCCCCCATTGCGCACTGGGACCAGCCTGGCAAACAGTGCTATCCGATCTCCTGCTCCAATAGCAATATTTCCGGAGAATACAATATCTCTTGTAGTTTATAACCGTAGAGAATGAGGTTACGAGATACCACGCTATAACCGTGCAATCATCCACGCGGCAATTAGGCGCAGAAGGACAAATTGCCCTTTCTACATTCCACGTCGGTGAGTATAAGTTATCAGCGCTGCTATAAACTACTCCGCCCCCCCCTACCATTCATTGAGCACGAGTTTAAGCTGGTTCTTTGTTTTCCATCTACACAGCGGTATCCTATCCACCTTATGTCCACCGCGGAGCACCCACATATTGATTAACTGCTTCAGACCCTGTTCAGCATGTACCGGTTCAAAAATACCGCGGGGCTTCTCGAAAAAACCTGAGCCAAGGTAAAAAAAAACACGCTGTGTTTTCAGAAACAAAGGTGTGTGGTAAGTTAGTGCCGCGGATTTTATCATTCTTTCACGCAAAATACTCTAGAAACGTAGGGCATATGTTCGGATTCGGTGTTATGCTGACAAAAACTAGATTTACAAGACATCCACTGTGCAATATATCATACATGCTCTAATCCAGTTCTTTTTTATTTCCCCTTCCGGCCTATGGCATCAGACCTCAACCCGAAATTAACCATCGATAACTCAAGTGAATTTCTACCCTCCCACAGCAAAAAAAAAAGAAAAGAAAAAAAAAAGGGATAATCTCTGGCAAATTCTCCCTACGCTATCCCGCCCACCCCAATCGCTTGTTGAAAAATATTGCATATAAAAAATACTGCTATATTTGTGGCAGGAACGAACTGGACCTTAACCATTTCTCTGCTTTTCTCCCCGCGTTTCTAAGTATGTATACACGCACACCAATTCTCCATCTTTTACTATTACACTAACATATCTATCCGCGGACCCGTCAACTCCTCGGGATACTAGCTTGTACTCCACCGCCCATCCAACACATTATACTCACCTTTACACATCCCTCCAAAATATCGCTAACAAAAGTGCCCATCTATAATAATAGTCTCCCCATAAAAGTATTAACCGGGAATCCCCTCCCCCCGGGGTATATCGTCAACCATTTCAACTTCCAAGAATAAGAAATATGTCACGGGTTCGAATCACAATCGCAATCACAATCCAAACATCTCGTATTATACGAATTTAACCATCATGTGTCAACCAAACCAAACCAAACCACTTATTTCCCACCAGCGTTATTGTTGCCAGCTCTGCATCGGGAGCTCTAGGTAAAGTACCGTAGTGTTAGTCTAGAGTACTGGTCCCGCAACTTGAACGGCAAAGAAACCCCGCACTCGAACGTGCCGTGATATATATGTACCATAATAATATCATGGTTGCTCGATAAATACTGTAAATGTTGACATCGAGGCGTAGATATCACATCAGCCACCGGCATGGAAAAGGAACAAAAAAACCAAAAAAAACCAATAGACAAAAAACTTTACCACCCCTCCAACACAATATTTTGGTACGGGGACACAGCTGAAAGTTCCCATTTCCATACATCACCCCGTCACACCCCATCACTCGCCATAAGTACTTCACCCAACGACCTTTAAATTGCCGATAAGTACCACCGCCAAAGAAATAACACAACACTAGGATAGGAAAAAAAGAAAAAGAATTTTTTTTTCCAAGGACAAGTAATGGAAGTCAATCTCAGAGACAAGTTAGCCGTTTTAAACAAGAAAACAAGAGAAGCAGAATCGCGTCACAAAAAACTCCCCAGTGGGATTTACACGCTTGTACTCTAGGATCCGAATCCCAAAGTGCAACACTTGATGGCTGGGCACTAAGGAAACCCAGTGCGAAACGCTTTCTGTTTGCCGGTATCGGTACTTGCGCCTACAACCTGCCGCGACCTATTACTATTCGAGCTCTACGGTGTATGAATGAGTGATGTCTGGGCGGAATGATCATGCCGACAGAGCGCTTGTGGGGGCAGAGGGGAGCTTTTTTGGGGGGGAGGGGTGTTTGAGGCCTATGAGGCCCGCGTTATTATCTTATCCTACCTAGTTGTCTACCGATCGGTTTCCGTCGGTTGGGTGCAGTGCTTGCCATGGTATCAATCAAGGAGGTAAGCCTATATACTTTAATATGGCTAGTCTCACTGCTACGTTAGGATAATGTTCTATTTTCAGAGACAATAGAACATTTAGAGAAAGTAAATATCGCGAAAGCATCACGGTAAACCAATTTCAAGCTCATAAAGAGTGCAGGTATGTAAACCAAGCTTGTCTCCTAAACCCTAATCCCCTAGAAAAAAAAAAGAATTAAAAGAGCCCATGCAGCACCAGCCTGCGGGTTTTTGAAAGCCCATGGGCCGTCCCGGCGTATGTCAATCACTGGTTGGGTGTATACCAGGAACCGGCACCCCAATAACCAGCGTGGGGTTTCCTCCTTCATAGCGGGTCCGTGGAGAACAATAAATTCATGGAATATCACTTGGTGAGCGAGAGGTTATGTACTCAGGTATGGATGGATGGGTGGATGGGGTAGAGAGGTTGGTGAGTTGCAATGACATATTACACGGGCCGGCGAATGTGTGCGTTCGTATGTCTAACTATGTCATAATAAAATTAGAATTCTATTTAGAGAATTTAAAAACACACGTGACCCGATTTACGGAGTGCAGAGATCAGGCATGATATTTTCGGATATATTTCTCTAGAAATCATCTCAACATTTGTTGGGGGGAATCCACTCTACTAACATTAGCACTCTGGCCCTCCCATGGTATGATGACAGGGAACCAATTTCGACCCGTGGGCGGACGGGCAGTATTTATACAATAATTGACGATGTCGAGAGCCCGGTTGTCTAGATTGGGGGGATAATTAATTAACTGTTGGTTTAATATCGCTCGGACTTCTGACTCTCCAGCAACCGGTTTCCCGGAATGTTATGGGGAGCCCCAGGGTCGGTACGAAGGAATTCCCAGATCGTTACTGAGACAGGAGTGCTTTGGGGAGGCGACCAGTTAGATAGACAGACCGTGTAATAGCAGGTCGGAATTCCTGGGTTGAGGGTCTTGTTTGTGCTTTCAAAGGCCCGACAGGTAGCAACCACGAAGAAAGACCCTGGTTTGTGTTGTGCCGCGAGCATTTCTCGATCAACGTCACGCACACACTCGGCAAACTTGTACGCTGGTAGCACCTGCGGACCGCGTCTTGGTCTCCAGTCATTCCCAAGGAATCCGTGAGGGTCGGCTGAAGAAAGTGAGAAGTTAGGGACCATCCTCTCACACTCCCAATACGCAAAAATAAAAAAGTCAACTTGAAATAAAACCGGAAAATGCATTCATACGATTTCCAGAACGGTCTGTGATACTCTCCAGCTCCTTAGCCGGCGAGTCATCCTTGTACGTATATCGTGGGGTGAAGTCACACTGATAACCAAGTCGTGTGCAGTGCTATTTATTATCAGAAAATGATCCTTCTAGTTCCCTAACGGGTAAAGAGACTGATTGGAGGAGTTACCCCGCATACGGGATGGATTTCATCGCACTTGACTTTCCGTCTCTATATGATAAGGATTAGTTACGTCCCCTCAATCGTCCAGGAAGGGTTCTCGTCATACCCGGCATGTCCTAAATGATACAACACAGGTCGTCAGAACTCCAATCAGAAAGAATAAGAGGGACACGTACCAACACCCTTTTCTCGACCTAGCGGGGACAAGAAAGTGTCTGTGTGCGTAGATTATCTGAGGGTGACTCGCCAATATGACGTGCCCAAGCCCAAGATGCTGCCCAACCCCTGCAGGGAGTGTTTGGCTGGGCCGGGGTTCGGGGGAGATGGTGAGCTCTGGAGTGCTGCTGGGAGTTGAGGACAGGGGTTTAGGAGGGGCTGTGGGTGCTGATGAAGAGGCAGCAAATGCCCGGTCCCGATGAAATGAGCTAGATGGGATAAATTCCTGGGGTGGGAAATCGGTGGAAGGCAGGATGGGCGTGGGAGTTTCGGGAAAATCTTTCCTCCCTTTCGTAAGGGGTATATCCGGCTCCGGATTAAAGTGTTCGAAACCCGGGCCATAACCTTCCAATCCTTGGATCATTTCTGCAGGAAGGTCCTGGAAATACTCGCCCCCCGACGCCTGAGAAACTTCAGACAGGTGATGAAAACCATTTGGGCCCAAAGGATTGTTAAGCGATGGCCAGATATTACCGAACTCTGATGTGTCCAAGCCGTCGTTTGAGTTGCTGAAGCCTGGTTCCGGGATCTCGGGCCACCATGGATCGTGATCATAACTCAGGGTATCGGCCAGAGGTTGGGAAGGAACAACGCTTGTGCTCGGAAACGTATTTGGATATGCAGCGCTCTTGGGGTATGTACCAGTTTCGGGGCTCGGGGCATGGCATCTGTGACGTATGGGTGGTAGCGGAGGCCTTTCCTGCATGCCGGAACTACCGCTGGATGCATAGGGCACTAGAATCTGGCCAGAATCCAAAAACCTTTGCCTCGGAAGTTGTCTGGAATGAGATTAGACGCTTAGTAAGGGGAGAGAACAGGTAAGATGCGGAGAGGAGGGGAAACGACACGGGAAACGACAGACGGTCAACCACTGTAGCAAACGCGCACTGGGGAAACCTCACGATGACGGAGGGGGATAATACCGAGGATTTGCTGTATTATTCATGACTAGGCGATATCGCGAGAGGGTCTTATTACTCTACTCGTACTCAGGGACGCAGGCTAGGTACGGTCGCGACAGATACCGTATCCACAGAAATGAGATCGAAACGAGGGAAAAGGTTCCTCTCTGGAGGCCGGACCGGATTTCGGGCTGTTTATAACAAAGCGGAAAGGGGTAATCGGGGGAGAGGGGAGGTGGGTTGTACCGGTACGTGTTCTCAGGGAATGTGCTCGAGTAGGTACGTGTTCGTTACCACCACATGGAAATGTTGTCGATGTAATCATTACCCGTCGATATGAACACCCCGATGCAATTATAAATAGCGCATGCAGAGGCGAATTATCCTTTGGGGACGCTAAGGGAATCAGAATTGAATGTCGATATGTATGATGATACACAGAATTTCCCTGGATGGCACGACATGGCCACTGGAGACCATGTCCAACCCAATGAACAGCATGTCTGTCTATCGAAGGGATAGTGGAAACAGAGTAGCAGACCGCCCCGTTCTCTGGAGGAGCCCAGCCTGTTTACTGCCCGGAGGGAAGAGAAAATTCCCCAATCTGGCCAGCCCACTTCCTTCTCGGAAAAATGGTTACCTACCACAGCGCTAGTGGGGTTAGTGTTAAGTTTATATAACCGCCCACGCTACACCTTGCATGGACATTAGCCAGCGAGAAGGGGTCTTGGGCTCTATGCACAGATCCCCTAGCCTCAACCATAGTCTACTCGAGTATAGTTACCAGAGATCGGGGAGCTATGCATCTCGCCATCTAAACCGGTAGGAAAGAAGCCAGCGCGGAATTTCCACCAGCAACAATAGCCAAACCCTCAGGTGCCAGCCCCATCACAGCTCCTCACTCGAAACTTCCCCCTCTCTGTAAAAGTTCAATCCAAAATGGATGTTTTTTTTTTTTCTCCCAAGAAAGAGGCTCAACACATGATATGATTCTCAATGCAAAAAACCGCCATCATAGACAGGCACCTCGAAATTTATATGACATCTCGCGCTCTGATACACCGCGAGAAGCTTGGTAGGAAGAAGCAATGGCCAGTCACACCGCTTCCCTTTCCGCCCCTCTCTCCAACAATCTCCCGTCGCTCGCCTATTTCCATGGCCAGGTGTAAGACAAGGCATCTCGCGTTCGAAGCAGCGAGAAACATTCAGTTTCTCTCCCTCATGGCTAATACCGGTCAGGAAGATCACCACTGAATGGACAGGATGAAGGATCATATTGACGAGTCCGACCGTTTTCCAACGGCAGCGCCAAACACCGTGGTTCTACTCGAGCCCCACACATCACACCACCCTTGGAATCCCCTTCAAGCCAACCTCCCCCTCCGCACACACTGCAAGGTATCCTGGCCCGACCATCCTTGATGGAAGGGACAACAATAGTAGTAATTATATTAAAATTGTAGATCTCCCGCACTCGCTTGTGGCACGTGCGTGATGCCACCCGTCCGCTGCAAGCAGCCGCAGGGTACCGGAACACCATACCATAACGCATCTGCATACGGTGTAAAACGGCGGGAGACCTGGAGACCACTATCGATCGCCCTAGTCCTCCCTACCCCGCGGGCCCCCTAGGGCATTCGGGGTATTGCTATGAGGCCGGTCGGTACTAGCTTTAGCCCCAGTTCTAGAATCCTTACGGCGCGATGTCGTGGCATCGATGAGGTGATCTTCCAGCATGTGCGAGTACGATACTCGAGTACCTACTCCGGGCTGCCTGTGGCTGCTGGACTCCGTTTTCCCCTTACTGGAATTTGCATATTAACTACTCACTATCCCGCAGGCTCTCGCTGATCGCCCCCCACCGACTCTTCTGCTAGTACCGGTACACTGCGAGTACTGGCACGCAATGGAAATAGAATCAAATGTTATCATGACATCATCATGCAGTATCATAACGCCGCTGATTTCGGTGGGTACCGTGTGGGATACTTCGCAGCGGATAGGGTATGCCTCACGAGAGGCTGTACTCGTAGTCGGCGCGAGGAGGGGACTATGACGTAATGAGGTTTTCTTGGTAGGCCGAGGTAATTGGTTACCGGCGTGGGGGGCGGTGGATTGTGAATCTGCCCCCGGAAGACTATGCGCACCCGCCTTCCTGCTTACCCTTCTGAGGAGCGTTTATTATTTCTGGTAGGGGGCCATTTTGCGTATCTCTTCATACGGTGTGTATCACGGTTTTCGGATTATACATCCACCCGTAACAGGGCAACGTATGACATCAGGTTTTTTGGGCTTGTCGAGAATCCTTTAGCATATTTATTCGTTCCGCCGAGCGTAATCCACAAACCGTGGCGAAGACAGATACCATTCCGTGGGACCCAAACGAACAGGCAAATGCCGGCGTCACGGCCGTTTCATTTACAGTATAGGGAAGGCACAGAACTTGCTGCTACGACATCAGTGGAACTAGCGCGAACCAAGAGCTCCAGAAATAGTGGAAACATATATTAGCCCTCCGGGTGAAAACCCTATATATCATACTATATATAATTATATATTAGTCATCCCTCCCGTACAAATCGCTCAAAATCAGCCCCCAACGCCTGACGAACCATCGGTGAGCGTTCATCAGCTAACACCTGTTGGAGATCCGCGCGCACATTACCCCATAGGCTCCCGTGCCCCTGCAACTTGAGCATTTGCATAGTGGCTTCCGCAGCCTTGATACGGACGTTCTCATTGCTTCGGTCGGTGAGGCACTGGTTGACTTGGGACCAGGCTTTACCGAGAATATCATTCCAGTCCTTCTCTCCGAGTGTCGTTGTGGAGAGACGACAGAGAACAGTCGCTATGCCTTCAACTCCGCGTATTTTAAGATCGTAGTTGGCACCTGCCAGCTTATCTTGCACAAATTCCAGGACCTTTAAGGCATCGGTACGAGTTTTTGATCCTGTGGTGGATTAATAAGCAGCTAAAAAGGGTGGGTATAGGGGCCAACCGTTAGGATTAGAGTCTGTTCTAAAAGCCTTGCAAAGCGTAACTAGACCATTTGCTAAAGTAGTTTCCTCTCTGCACCGATGAATGTCAGTCGGCTGCCTAGTGCTGCGAGAAAATAGGTATCTGAGGAGTAAGCTTACATAGATTTCAGAGAACGGCCACCGGCAACGTCAACATCCATTGCATCTTCAGACTCGCTTTTGACCGAGTCCATAACAACACCGTATGCCTCCTCAAAAAGGTCTAATGCTGCAAAACCGTCGGCAAAGTCACCGAGACTCTTTACTGCAATGCTTCTATAAGCAGCATTTTTACGTCTTGCTTCCCTCAGCACGATCTGCCCACATGTAGTTTGTTAGCGGAGCAGTGGAGGAAACACAGGTCTCGCACATACCATTGATAGTTCTCGCAATTTGGCTTGGTCGTTCTCGAAATATCGAACAGCATTCACGGAGAGGGCAACCAGAGCATCAAGAACAGCTTCCTTTCCATCCCAGCTCTTTCCCGACGTCGCCGATACTAATACCGGCCATAACAGGTCAACCTGGTCGGCCGTAGTATCCTTACCAATTGATTTACATGCATCGGCCAAACTTAACGCTGCAGTTTGCTTGAGTGCCCATCGCGGAGAGGAAAGGTGGGTCTGTGCTAGTGAAATGATCTCCCCGAGGTGAAGCTTGATTGCACCAGTCCCACCGGTATTTTCAGTCCAGGCTTTCGTGAAGATTTCAGCAACAGGCGCGTGTGGATCATGCTTCCCGACAAAAATGAAGGGTAGTATGTCCACAGCCAGAGAGTTGAACCGATCCGTGGCGCTAATGCGGTTAGAAATACGAACGATGGGGGACGAATGAATACGCACTTTTTGCACAGGGCGTAAATCACCTCACCAGCTAGTGTCCTATGCTTTTCATCTTCGCCCTCGAAATATAGTTTTCTAGAATATTCCACGAGGCCCAATATTTTTTCGTCGCTAGTTAATCGACAGAGATAGCCAGCAGCACTAGCATAGCTCGCCATCACCGTCTCATTGCGATCATGCATCGAAGCCTGTAGAGTTTTGAGGAGCTCATCTGCAAAGGGCTTGGTAATGAACCCGTGTCGGACCACTAGGGTCACGATAATGCGGCTGCACCCTACCTGATAATTACATGTTAGTATGTGATACACCACGACCAAGACACGAAGGCAGTATACTTTAGACGGTAAGCCCAATGCTTTCCTTATGGTCCTCTGGAATCCGGGTACAAAGGTCTTCATAGAGTCGTTGTCTAATAGATCCAACGATCGCTCAATGGCATCCATCATTGGCGACCCCCGAACTTGGGCCAGCCTAATACGGTCGATCTATATCGTGTATTAGCAAAAATTCCTACCATAAAGAGTTAGAGCGTACATCGTCACCAGTGGTATTGTACTTATCTGCATTCAAATGCAAGTAATTGACCACTTCCGGCTCAAGGGAACTCAAGAGCTGTACGAATTTGTCCACAAGGTCTGAAATATATGGGAGGAGTGCGGGCCCTCCCGTTTTTACAAGTTGAAGGAGAGTTCCTAGTTTTAACAAATGCTATTAGCTCATCCATTGGCGCAGAGGAATGCACCGCCAATTGTCATCATAGTAAGCGGCTCGAATCTTTGAGGAGGGAGAGCAGCAAAAAAAGTGGCTCCAAGCTCACGTAACGCAAACAACTGCACTTCCTTGGCCTCCGCTTCCAATCCCCTTCCACCCATCAGGAATGGCATAACGCCCTCTAAAATTGCCTCCGCCTCTTTTCGGCTCCCCCCTGAGGCTACATCGACATTGCGGACCATAACTTGTGTTAACCCTCTGCAGAGTTTCATCGCGGCGATCCGAACACTCTCCTTAACATCATCAAGGACCCGGAACGATGTACTCCAGATTTTCTCCAAGTATGGTTTATATTCCTCAATTTTCTTTCCTAGTACGAGCTCTCCGAGAGCATTGCAGCTCGCTTCTCTAGTCCTCCACTCCCGCCCAACAGCGCACTTGAGCAGGTCTTCAATTATATTGTTGAACTGTGCCTCCAATACATGTTTCTCATCACTACCGATCAGAGCCTTCCAAATGTCTTCCATGCTGCGAGCGACATTGGGGTTAGGGTCGAAGCGGTACCGATAAAGTTTTGGGTATAATTTGGGGTTGTGCTTCAAGACGTCAGAAGAAGCAAGGATGCTTCCCAGCCCGAAACGGCCGAAGGCTGCTCGTGAAGACCATAAAGAATTATGGCGAGCAAGGGACATGAATTTATACACCAAGCTTGGATCACCGACTTCTGAAGCAAGGGACATAATCTACACCCAATGTGTTAGTTCAAGACCGCAAGCTAGAATAAAAGTACCTAATGCGTAGAAAACGAACTAACATCTTTGTAGGTAGAGATGCTTCCATCCCCAGTCGGCAAGGCCCCGGGTTCGAACAGCTCGGTTTCTGCCGACACATTCCCAGTCAAGGTACGAGTTTTCTCACCGGTAAAAGATGAAATGAGATTCCGGACAAGATCATCTTTGGTTTCCTTATCGCCCTTCTCGTAAACCATCGTCAATCCTCTCGCTGCGGTCTCCTGTACAAGCTCTATTTCAACCACCAAAACCACTGGTTAGTAATATCTGGAATACTTAGGGAGGTTGCACAACCATACCGTCTCTGTCTACCAAATATCCCCTAAACCCTTTTTGCATGTCCCCAAGCCTAGACTTCACTTGTTGATCCTCTCCACAGAATTCCAACAAGCACAGCATCCAGACACATACAGCCTTCCTTAAGCTAGGCTTTGTATCAGACATCTTGTTCAGCACTGTCCCCAGAACTTCTCCTAGCCTCTCTTCAACTAGGTCCTCAGTAGGATTTGCGTTTTCATATCCTGCAATATCCACCTTTCCGCGAACAGATTTGCTCCGCCACCCCCCGGCGAGGCAGGCAATCGCTTCGCCAGTTGCAAAATTAACCTCAACCTGTCGGTTCTCGTGGAAAGCGAAAAGAGCTTGTAGAAGCTTGTCAACAATAGGTTTATCGGACGAAGGAAACACTATCCCTAAATAGCCAATCGCAAGAACTGCTTTCTCTTTGCCTTTTTTGGCAAGCTCAGTCAGGCGGTCCAGGATTCGGGGGTAAGTTTTTAGAAAATAGTCGCCGTGAACAACTGCAAAGATGGAAATTTCCGAGAGAGACTGGACAGCAGCATCAAGAATCGCTTGATCTCTTGCTTCTAGAAGCGCATTGACAACAACACCCACCGCCTGGTATACCAGCTCCCTCGGCAAGGCGCCGAGACGCCCACGAAGTTTCAGTCTCGACAGGAGAAATCCCAATGTTAGTATCCCGCCATGAACCCTCCCGCCTTCTGCTCCAAAGGCCTTGCCCGGGTCCCGGGAATAAGTAATCATTTCCTCTATCATAGATACCAATAAACTCTCTTCCAGGGCCTCGTGACTCCCGACAATGCCCAAAGCTCTAGCAGTAACCACCCTGCCTTCACCCTTCGTTCCTGTCAAGACAGCTTTTTTTAACGATTCGATCTTTTGCACTGAGTTTTTCCATGATCTCTCGGGAACAACGCTCACGAGATCCACCCAAACATCTCTAACACCACCCAACCCCGACCCATCCCAAACCATACCAAGCCACGCTACTTCCATGAACCTGCCGAGTACACGGCTATTTTCCTCTTCTAATTTACTAAAGTAAGTCCGGACCTTGTGTCTTACACCTTCATCGCGCTCAACAGCTGCGTCCAACTTTCTCTCCCAGTCTTCGTCCACGACCACCTCTTCATTGCTGAGCGCTTCCATGAGTCCTACCCTCCGACAAAAGGAGACAGCTATCTCAAAGACCTCTGGGGGCATCAGATCGGCGACAAGGCTCTCTTGAGTAGTCCAGGTAGTAGCATTCTGCTGCGAGTGAGGGAAAAAGTGGTCTATAAGGTCAGAGAAAACCGGAAAGGCATATTTGCTCGGCCCCTTAGCGTGAGGAGTATCGATTTCCATGGAATTCTCATCCGCTGCTACCGGAAAATTTTCTTCTGGGTTGAGGAGACGATGATAATACGGATGCAAACCTATGAAGCACAATCAGCATCCTAGGCAAACGGGATATTCTCATCCCCAGATATATTCATATTGGAAATTTCTAAGGAAGGGATAGGACGTGAAATTATCCCTCTGGCTCCCCCTAGATATATACCTTTTTTAGCTTCCTCTACAACCTCGCCTCTCTCTCCCTTCCTTCCCAGAGCCAATAAATTCCCCCATCGTCCCTCCAAATTCTTGAACTCCAAGATACGATTAGCGTATCTAACCGCCGAGAATCTTGTGCTTCTTCCTTTATCCGTAATCATTTGTTCGACTATCAGCTCCTCTAGGCCCTCTTCCGTTTCTCTATCAAGTCGTTGTTTTGCTATAGCGGGTAACAATGTGGCCAGCGCCCCCTCAACACTGACAGCCACACTTCCTGCGGGCTCATCTCTCAATCTCCCAAACAAAAACCTTAAGATTCTCCAATCTTTCTCCACCACGAAGCCAGGGGCCCTCTTTGCCAATAACCCGAGGCTTTCATATGCATAGCCTCTCAGGTCGTCTCCACCGGTCCCTCCCCCATCTTCTGGACTCGTAGACAGTAGCCAGTACCTGATCTTCTCCACAACATCAACCGCAACCGTTGCCATAACCTTTCCCCCACCCATTCTTGATGCCCAAATTACGAAGGTGAAGGCGGCTTGTCTCAGTCGAGCGTAGTCTGTTTCGAGGCCACTCTCCACAATCTTAACAATTTGATCTCCCCATTGCTCTCCAATGGCCTCCGTCGATTTCGCTAATAGTCCGACAACTCGGGCTTGGAGCACAACCTTTACTGGTGGTATAGCACTGCTTGGGTTACCAAAATAAAGTTGGTAGAGTTCTCTAACTACGCCCTCGTCATCCAAGGACACTGGCGGCAGAGAACGTCTAAAGACATCTTCCGCAGGCTCCGCGACCGCCGAATTCGTATCGGAAGTTCCTACAAGGCAAGGGAAAAATCTCTCCCGGTCCGTGAATGCTCCCGAAGCAAGAAATCTAAGCACAGACTTTTTTATATCCGTCAAGGTTGCAAAAGGGCTGAAGGTCTCTTGCTTTCCGCCTAGGGTCAGGAAGTCAAACTCCGCGGCCGAAATTCCCGGGCAATTCAACTGTCCCGAGGTGCTGCGAGTGGTGAAAATTGACAGATTGAGGAGCATTAATCGCTTGAACCAGCTCGCCACCCAAACAGCATCCTCACCGCCACCGGCTTCATCAAACCCCATTTTAATTCTCAGAGCAAGATCCTCCTGTGTTCCCCTATTCGGGGGTTCAAAATGGACCAAGACTTTTAATAAAATATTGAACAGAGAGCGCTGATGAGCAGCATTGTCGTGTTTCGATATATCTTTTAGCAAAGGTGGGAGCAACTCTAACCGTTCCAAGACAGGTAATCGCTCGATCCCGGTTTGGACATACATCAAATCAAAGTTACGCACGAGCGAGTAACGACCTCCGACCTCAGGGTCCTTAAATTGCTTGAGGAGAGCGGCGACAGGCAGTATTATTGTAACCGGCCTGATTCGGGTGTTGACGTGCTGGCATATCGATATCACCTTTGTAGTTATCATCAGCATCAATACGCGACTAGTCGTAAGGGAAGCGAGTCCAACCTTATTCCGAACTGAGGCGTGCGGGCTCGCAAGCTTCAATATCAAAGGTGGCAAATAAAGATTCAATAGGCGTTGAAGCTTTTCATCTGTATCAGCTAGCGCAATCTTGAGCTCGACGTTGTTAACCAGCCTCAGTTCTTTAGCTTCGTCCGCATCTGAGGAAGCCATTTTCAAGCCAGCATCAAAGGGATAAGGAGTGGAGGGAGTGAGAAGGGTGAAAAAGGGATGAAAGAGATGAAATAGTCAAATTAATAGACCGTCGTCTACTGAACAGAAGAGAATCTCATAGAAAGACGAGGTACTGGGATCCAATCGGGGATACATAACGCCGGCAATGAGCAGGTGGGGTTACGTACGCGCCCGCTTTGCCTAATCACGTGAAGAGGTTCGATCATTACTAATCATGTCACGAAGGTGGATACAACGTTGGCCAAAACAGGATCACACTCTACCCGTATGATAATCGTAGAAAACCATGCCTCCCCACACTAAACGCAAATAAAAACGCCGCGCCTTAAAAATGTCTTACAGAGAAGGACATTAGTTTGCGAGACCCCAAGGCCTCCTCCATTCCGCCGGACCCACCCATATCTATCCCTTTTGCGCTGGACTTTGTTTAACAAGGTGAAGCGTCTTTGTTTATACGAAGCCACCTAAATTATTTGATGAGATAGAGCATTTTCTATGTTCTCCGAACCGCTGATACTTTTGTCCAGCATCTAGAACCCGTAGTTCCTATCTCAAATCCGAGATGGAAAAAAAGTTAAACATCTTTCCTTAAATTTTGTTTTATATCCTTTGTTTCCTCTCTCTGCTACCCCGCTGTTCACGGACATCGCCCCTAAGTGTATGGTCTAGAGTCGGATTTCGCCACTTCATAGCTGCCCTTTCTCACGCTATGGCCTCATTTGGAATGCTAGTTTTTTCAAACTTCCCAACCATGGGGGGCAGGGTACCCTGAACCACCGGCCCTCGTTGGGGATAGTTCGAAATAACCCACAATGAGCAGAACTGAACACCCGGGCTGCTACTATTTGCATAGGGGACTGATCGGAACTCGACTTATTGACCCTACCAGGCAGGTTTTCTCATGTAATCCTGCCGCGGAAACAAACACTTTATTCTGCTGGGGGACAGTTATAATCGGTGGATTTTTTTCCCCTTGGGTTAAAAATAATGATACTCTGTTATTGAACATTTAATGCACCATACAAAACTAGATCTACTGTGAAGAGCAAAAAAATTAAATTACAAGCATGGATCACTAATGGCTAGCAAGAAAATCCCATTTTGTGCAAACAAATGATCGCAGCTGGAGTACCAGCGATGGAAAAAAGGCAAAGTAAGGTTTGGTATCAGCATGAAAATATCTAGTGAAAGCTAAAGATTATAGATGCAGGGATGAAAGGCGCCCTGGAATTAGGAAGGATATAAGCCAAGGGAAGAGTATCATACTATGATACAATATTGGTGACCTACAAGAATCCTGTTCAGGGCATTGCACCCAATTCCTGCGTTGGGGATCACAGAAAAATAACATTGGATGGTATCATACCGTATTTAGACTACTGCTGTAATATATTTGGAAGAATAGCAGAAAATGCATACCAGAAATGTCTCCATCCCCCCCCTTCCTGATGATTTTGGAATCTACTAGTAGGTCAATACTCAAGAGAATGAAGAAACACTCCCTCCCTGATCGGATTAGCCTAGAAAACAACTATTTAAGCAGTTCTCAGTACGAGGAAGAGAGCCCACAGGTAAAAATAAAATAAAAATTCTCTACCATAGAAAAAAGTCACTTTTTTTTTTCTTCTCTTTAGGATTCATCGCCAATCGTGTAGAATAGCCAATAGAGAAGAGCGTTGATAGCGCACGATGCGATCCTAACTATCATACACTCAAGGACATATTCGCAATCTCCCAAGCCACCTCCCCACTCCTTGCGAGAATAATAAACCGTCTGCTCGTAGATGAATATTTCTTCATCTGTATCTGTCGAACAATATTCATATCCTGATTCCAACAACGGCTCACGTCATCCAAGGACCTAATCTCGAACTCGGAGAAAGTATATCAGGAGCGGTGTAAGCGGTCACGGTACCAAACCAAGTATGATCCTTCCCCCGGCGAGAGGCCCAGAGTCCTTGCCCGCCTAGGATATATGATAACGAGAATTGCATGGCAGAGATCAGCGAGCCAACATGCTCCGCGATCACGCATTTCGTTCCACATCCTACATCACAAATTCCCAACATCTTGACTATAAAGCTTTCCGGCCCTACCATCCGTGTTCGCATACCGGGCAGCTTAACACCCTCAAATTTCGCTCTTCAGCTTCGAGGCGGGGACACTTCTGTAGGAATCTCGAGTGATAACCCATGACGCATGGACCGCCCAGTGTCCACCTCCTCTCCGCTCTCTGGATCCACCGATAGCACAAGCTTCCTGCTGCTTTTCCCTTCGTATCCTTCTTGGCGTCCTGACGTACGCACCGTGCTCTATGCACCACGCCGCCCGCAAATTAAGGGTGGGGCTGGTTTAGGGATCTGCGTACGAGTGGTGCGGTAGATAATTTTTTGTTTTGGGGGTGATGTTCATGTCTCCGCACCGAAAGTTGGTACCCTTTCCGGAAGAGCTACTGGAGGCCCTAAAAGGGTGAATGGATAAGAATTCTGGAGACACGAATATACATTACCGGTACATGTAATCCGTTAAGGCTCCAAGCTATGGCAGCACTTGACATTACCCACAATTTTTCCCATAATAAACTGACTCACCAAAAGGCAAAAATAAAAGGGCAGTATCATATAACCGCTCCCCTCACACCTACCGTAACATACGAAGCATGATACCCCCCTCCCCTCCTCTCTTCCCCCCACCCTCACAGGAACCGAAACCGCTGGCGCGCTGGCCACAAGTGTATAATTCTGCACAACGATGTCGAAAGCCGAGCTGCATTTCAAAATTCTTCGCCGATCCCTCACCCAAATATCTCTAACCCACACTTCCGGTATGCGTCATTGACATCTCATTACTGACCCCCCGGCTCCCTAGGCAAGTCCCAACGGCAGCGCGGGGGGTATATCTCTACTAGTTGAAGGGTTCCAGGTTATGTTTAAGGGACGAGTCGTTGCACGGGAATTTACTACAAGAATGGGATAGGTTAGTGAATAGGTGTCAAAATAGGGATAATAAAAATGAAAAGAAATAGAAAATTCTGCGCTCGGGATGTGGACCACTCCACGAAATTATATCACCGCACAGGGCTCAGTCTTCCCTCGCCATGCCTTGCCTAGCAAGTCGACGCCGCCCACGCACCGTTTGTTTTCACTCCCCTACAATACCATCTACGCTTCACCACTCTTTTTCGGTGGGGGAAGGGAAAATCTCCGGCAGGCGGGGAATGGGTTCTAGTACGGTAGTGACAACAAATGCAGACACTAGTACAGTACTCGAGTACCGGTAGGCTATTGTATATCTTAGCGTGGGCGATCACTTGTTGGAGTGAGGGGGGAGCAGTATAGGACGCTAGCTGCAGCCATTACTTTAACCCCGACTTAGCGTAACTAGGACCACATCTTTTGATTCAGAGAATCAGCGTGGAAAATGGTGTCAACCTACTGGTCTTAGCCACTGTTTATCTCTCTACCCTTCACAGGACATTGAAAGTAGCTCAAATTTGAGCATGAGTTTACCGCACGCCGGAAGGAAGAGATCTTGTTCTCGAGGCGATGATTAGTGATGTGTCTAGTGCGGTATTTAGGCGGGGGAGTGTGGATAAATCCTGCTTGTGTACTTGTTTGCCGTAATTTTATTGCTTTTCGAAAGAAAAGAGTAGAAGAAGCAGGCCCTTCACTACGGTTAGTTGCTATGCCCACGTACTAAGGCATCGCGGGGGGAATCTAGCTTTCGGAAAGGGGACGGCCGAGAGGGAGGGATTATTTGGGTGGTGTTTAGGAGCTGACTATTAGTACAAGTACGTACTCGAGTATGATACTGTATGGCACAGTACACCGGTAGTGGAATCCCCCCTTTACTGTCACAGCCAAGGAGCGATAATTCAACTTTGAAGAAGGGGGTGATGGGTATATGATACCGGCATAATAATCAAAAGCTTCAGGAAAATCTCGCAAGTAATCGTGGCTCTGATATAGATGTTAGGGGGGGTAGGCAGCATAGATCGAGGATACCACATCATCAGTGAAGTTCAAAGGTTGGTGCTTGAGTTTGGGTTACAAGTACCTCCTTAGGTTGCTCTCGGAACGGGCCGAGAAGACCTAACCCTTTTAATTAGCTAATGTCCCCACAAAAAAAAACCCCCGGTCCGGTATGGTACTTAGCAACAACGCATATTTTCATCGACCTGTTACTCACCCACAGCCATTCAACCGACCAAGCAAACCCCTCAATCCCCGCATCCCCATTCATCTGCCCCCTTTTCCTACTTGTTAGGATGGGCCTCGCAGCCCCCCGAAAGTACTTCCCCGTTTCTGATCTCCCAATCCACCCCACAGTCGCTAACCAACAAACAGTAAAACTAAAATTTCCGCCGACCCCCGAAACACCCACTGGGCCAGCAATACCACTAATTTCGGCCACCGGATACTCACATCCCACGGCTGGGATCCCGGTTCTACCCTTGGCGATACGTCCTCCGCTTACCATTCCAGTGGGCACATCACCGAGGCGTCGAACACGGGCGTGAAGATTGTGCTCAAGGGGGATAATCTCGGTATCGGGTGTAAAGGTGGTATTAAAGATGATGAGTGCACGGGTTTAGACCTGTTCCAGGATTTGCTTGGTCGATTGAATGGGAGGGAGGAGGAGGTTGAGAAGAGGGCTCAACAGAGGAAGGTGGAGTTTGCCAGCGGAAGATACGGGATGAAGTTTGTGCGGGGGGAGACATATTTCAGCAGCGACGTTGATAAACTGATCAAGGATATCAGGAGAGTGGAGGAGGAGAAGGCGGAAGCTGCGAAAGAGAAGAGGAGGGAGGAGAAGTGGAGGAAAAAGAACAAGAGGAAGGGTGCTAAAGCTGCTAAGGCTGAGCAGGAGGACAAAGTGGATGAGAGCTCCACATCACCACCCGCCGAAGAGCTGGCTAGTAAGGAGAAAAGACCCCAAAAGTCCGAATCCTGTACACCAGCCCCCATCTCTTCTCCTTCAGACTCAGAAACCAAGTCCAGGAAGCGAAAACGCTCAGGCAATTCTAAGAGAGAGAGAAAGAGAAAAAGGGATAAGAAAGACAAGGGGGACAAAAGGACGCGATCCAAGGAATTCTCTGACATAGAGACACCTACTCCGGCATCTGGTACTACAACTCCTACAGCTCTGACCGGAAGACACGCAATCCGCCATAGATACATCGCAGCCAAGAAAAGTGCAGTAATGGATACGAGAGCTCTAAATGAGGTTTGTTTTGAACTTTTCTGTTTGTTGGTTTGTCAGGCTATGTGTGCGCCGATGCTGATGTTTCTCTGCGGCAGATATTTATGATAAAAGCCTGACCTGTGTTTTGACACTATACAGGTGTGGTGGGATACTGTTACGATGATTAAGGGCAGGTTTGTATACTATATTAATAATAGAGGTGCTGTTCGTTTCCTGCTATAGAGAGTTTGCGCACGTAGACCTAGGTGGGAGTTATTAACGATGTCACTAGGGGTTGCCACTCGCATCAACAGCCCATCCCCCCGACAATTGTTGAGTTTCTTAAATTCCATGTATTTAAGAGGTCAATACATCAGCCAATTCTTAGCTTTCATGAAGCTTCTCTTCTCAGGATTGTCCTTGAGAAGAATAGCCACAAAATCATATCTGAATAGAGGCATAAAAGTGTAGTTCGAGTGGGCATTTGTGGTCCTCAATTCCAGGTCCGATTTTCAGGTTTTTACACCTTGACCAGGTGGGACTAAAGAACCAGGTGGCCAAGCCTTATATTGTTATTATAACTTATATTAACACCACCTAGGTCTCACTGCGCAAACTCTCTAATGTGTCCTGGGCTACATGCTAATTCTGGGATTGTACTCGTAAAAGTGCTGCGCTTTCGCGCTAACATTTTACCCTTCATGACTGCAGTATACAACTCAACCATCCGTAATTGCAGTTCCTCCCAGTATCATGACTGCGTGTTCAGTTTAGCATCTATAGTTGCCTTTTCATGACGGCATCCGCATAAACCCCTAGGACTCAAGCCAACTTCAAGTCCCTCTTGCCGTGCAATATGTCAGACCGATCAAATATAAAATGTGAGAATCCTAACTTGAAACAACATTGACTATCCAAACACCTGTACAATGAATACTTGAACGTGCTTGTGCTGCTCGCAGATTGCCACCCCTCTCACTACCGGTTAGGATCCCCAATTTGACCCTACCGGTAGACGAACAGGACAGGACACCGGCGGCACACAGCACCGTAGCCGTGTGTTAGGGTTTACGGGTAGAGAGTCAGCTGCGACATTCAGGTTCTTAGGTTCTTGTCTTAGTTCCTTATACAGTAGATACGACTTCTTCGTCTTCTTCTTCTCCTTTGGTTGGTGTGGTAATGGGTTGTAGCTTGACAGAGACTTTGCGAAAAGGCTCCGGACGTGAGGCAGATGCGGTTCTGGGCCAACCAGCTTGCTAGGACTTGGCTCTGGATGCAAAATCAGATAGTGCCTGGTATAAGGTATTTGTCATTTTTTTTCTCCAATGATGCCGGCGGGTGCTGTTACTGCGAGCCTGTCTGGCACTTCTGGAATGTTGGGTTTCCCTTATATGACGCCGGTACCGTAAACGTGGGCTCTGTAGATGCAGCTGCACATTTAGGGACGCCAGCGCATACGCAGGGAAGGAAGAATAGCATCGGCGGGAAGGGAAGCGAGATGTAGCATAATGTAGGTGGAAGCCTTGGAACGGAGATTTGGTACGGAGTGTGAGTCTGATGAAGCAGCAGGATAAACAGAGGGGAGGCGGAACAACTGTGAGGGCCGCTGCAGACTGGAAGATACAGACTCACCTGTGAATTACTTCACGCAACCAGCATCATTATCAGAAATTAATTGAAATAATCCCTATCGTCACGGGTTAGACCAGCCAAGTCGGGAGCTTAAGTTGGTATACGTAATAATTCAGGTCTTGGCGTGAGGGCCATAGAATCACATCCCCCAACAAATCCTCCACCCACCGCAGGCATCTCGCAATCAGCCATCTTGCCCTTTCCCCCTACAGCTCATTCTCAAGCGGCCCTCACTGTGATCTTTTAAATCCATCCATAAGAGCCCCTCAACCTTCCAGATCTATTCTTATTCATCCCTACCCTCACTTCACTTCAGCAGCAAACAAGCCATCATATCCACCCCATCTCCTGGATCCGAGTTCAAACAAAAGAAGGTGAGTGTTGCCCCTCACCCCTGAACCCCACATTGTTGTGCGATTCTTGCAACCATCGCACGTCCTTTTGTTATCTCCTCCCCCCTATCGGTCCTAGTCCGAGCTGCTAATTCTTTCCCCCTCTTTTTGCAACAATACAGCCCTCGGTTCATCCCTTTCGCAATTAGATTCATCGGTAACTACGGACAAACTCAGTCACGATGGACGAATTAATTGCCCAGTTTACAAGTATCACCGGCGCTACCAGCCGCAAGGCTGAGATTTACCTCAAGGTTTCGGATGGAGATCTTCCACAGGCGATACAGTTATATTTTGATACCGGCGGAGCTGATATGGAGTCTGGACCTTCTGCACAAACAGCCCCCCCACCCCCGCCACCCCCTCCCGTGTTACCTTCAAGGCGTACCCTAATCGATGAGCCTATTGAGATTGGTGATGATGATGATATGGGCGATGACAACGATGACGACGATGATGATCTAAGAGAAGCGTTAAGAGCTAGTGAACCTGCTAGGGCTACCGCTGCTACTCCTGGTAGTGGGTCTGGGTCTGGCGTTAATTCAGCGTATGACGAGGATGAAGCTATCGCTAGGAGGTTGCAGGAGGAGTTTTACGGGGAAGCTGGTGGTGCTGGTAGCAGTGGTGAAAATGGTGTTAGGGCTCCGATCGCAAGGACCAGAGATACGCTCATCGGTGGCGATGACTATGGGTACCCTGAAACCATAGCTGAGAGGAGAGGAGGTAGATCCTTCTTGCGATGACACCCACAGGTTTGCGGAGACGTACTGATTCTGTGGGTCATAGCTGCGACTGGTCACCGTGGCGTATTCGGTCTACGAAGCGCCGCAAATGTTTGGGCCTCTGAGGGTATGAGTGGTGATGAGTTACTTTCCGAGGCCGCTGGAGGGGCTTCCGAATCCTCGCCCAAGACCAGTAAGCTGGCAGAGATTTTCCGACCTCCGTTTGAGATTATGACCAATCTATCTTTCCAGGACGCACGGGAGGAAGCAAAGGAGGTAGAGAAGTGGATTCTTGTCAACATTCAAGATAACTCTCTCTTCCCCTGCCAAACTTTGAATCGGGACATATGGAAAGCCGCTGAGGTGAAGGCCACAGTCAAGGAGAACTTCGTTTTCCTTCAAATGGACCGTGCGGGGAGGGATGGGAAAGACTATCTTAGATTATACATGGACAACGCCGTCGACGATAGAGCACTTTTCACAACGGGGACTAAAGCCGAGGATGTATTTCCACACATTGCGATCATTGATCCCCGAACCGGCGAGCAGGTGAAGGTTTGGACAGATGTGCCGAAAAACCCCCTAGAGTTTGTTATGGTCCTACACGAGTTTCTAGATCGCTACTCCCTCAAAGTTGACGCCAAGAACCCCATTCAACGAAAGACCAAGATTAAAGCCAGCGTTGCCCATATGACAGAGGACGAAATGATGCAGCTAGCGATGCAAAACTCTCTCAGTGGCACTAGCACTCCTCCAGGCGCAGCTTCCGACCCCGACGATCTCACCAAGGCTGGTGGGTCATCCTCTGAGGTTGGCGACTTGATGGAATTCGAAGATGCACAGGAAACCCAAGCCGACACGTCTGGTGAACCGGAATCTGTGTTTTGGAAAATTCGCGGGGATAAACATCATGCCGAGCCGTTGAATGGTCCGGACATCACGCGCATACAATTTAAGATGTCAGATGGCTCACGCGTAGTTCGCAAGTTCTTATTGAAAGATCGTGTGGAGCGGTTGTTTGAGTACGTCAAAGCGGACCTTCTTCCCGAGCACCAAGAGAAGAGGAAATCTGCCGTCGACGGTAAAGAGGACTCGTTGGTGGGGAAGGAATTTGACCTTGTGTCCTTGGGCAAAAAGCTCATTGATCATCTTGAAGAGACCATCGATGAGGCAGGCTTGAAGATGGGGACTGTTATGGTAGAAATCGTCGATTGATTGATTTACTGACTGGGGACCGGGATGGGTGGTTCAATAGACTTTCCTTTTTTCTCCCTTTCTTTCCCTTTCTTACTTTTTACCGGAGCTTTATTTTTTTCATTCTCTCTTGTTCTCTTTACCCCTTTTATGGAGCTTACTCTCGCCTCTTTCTTAGCTTTTACTGGGGAGTTTTGTTGAAAGGATGGTTGGCTGGTTGGCGGATATTTTCCGGAACTGGGTGACGCGTGAACTAGTGGATGGAATGGGTGGAGACGCGCTGTATCTAGTTGGTCTCGGACGATCAGGTTGCGTGCGCAATTGTTCGTTGTCCTCCTATACCAGTGGAGTGGGCGGTAATGTGATGAGCTTACTTATGATGGAGACTATCTACTTAGACCACCGGAAACGGATTCCTTTTGCTGCACTTGGTTGATTGCTTTAGCTGACCTATTTATTGCCATGAGGTGTGTTCGACTGGTTATTGATATTGATATTGTTATTGCTATTGTTGTCGACATTATATGGGAGCTGTTGCTGGAATAAAGGCACGCCAGACTGGGCTTGGTAAATAAATTTACCGTGGGCGGGTAGATGCCGCACTACGTGAAATTTGAATCGCTACGCTTAAAGTACTATGGCCATTTTATTTCATCCTTAATTGTCTAGAGATCCACGCTGCAGAATGTTTGTGAACAAGGCAGTTATCCAGGTACCTTGCGGCTACCCGCCAGCCCTGTGTCTTGTACGGTACGGTACATGTACTAGTACGTGATCCACCGCCCCAGCAATAGGCACGGGAACAGCCGCATGGTTATCATATGATATAGAGCGAAACGAAACCGGGTGAGTCACAGTGTATCACCCAGCTGCCCTCCCTTCCCTAACCCTCTCTCCTTCCCGGACAATCGGTACCATACCGTAACACACGATGCCCACCCAAGACGAAATTGTGAGGGTCAGACTGTTGTACTCTGAACCGAACCCGGGTGCTAGCTAGCTAGCTAGCCACAATTTGTACGAGTGCAATACCATACGGATAAATATTGTAACTTATGATATTGTGGTAAGAGTACCGTACGGTGCTGTACTCTTCTATGACAGGCGTACTGTACCGGTGTACGGGGCCTTCGGGTCTTACAGCGCTGTACTGCACTGCACTGTACTATACTGTACACCTCCGATTCATCGCGAGCTCTGGAGATTGTTGTGACCGGGACTTAATCTGCCCCCGCCCTCCCTTTTTTTTTTTATCTTTTTGCCATCACTGGTAATCTGGTTATGTTGTGGGTTCCGCTCTGGTATTCGATGGGTGGGCATGTTTTGGATGCGGTGTTGAAGGTGCCGTATTTTTTTTTCTTTACTTTCTTTCTTGTTGGCGGTGGGTGGTAGGATACAATATTAGGGCCTGTTCGGCAACAACCGTTCCGTTCCGTTCGTACTGTACTTGCACATACAAAATGGCCGTTCGCGAACGGAACCATAAGGCAATTTGTATGGGCGAACGGAACGGAACGGTCGTTGCCGAACAGGCCCTTATACTATACTACAGCTGACAAACTCACAATATCATGCTATTTTATTAGAATCTTGTTTAAGTGTGTAGAATAAGGGTGTGAGAACAGGTCTATTCACTTTTGCTCGGGGGCAATGGAGAGAGAGGGTTGCGGGCAACTTGAACGAAGGAGGAATGTGTAGAGAGATTGATGTCATCCTAATCAGTGAGGAGGGAAGGAGCGTGCTTACCGGAAGGTCTAAAATGAAAGGAAAAGTGTAGGGCTTTGTATAGATAGTGTCGGAAAGGGGGGAATGGGAGTACAGAGAGAAAGGACAATAAAACAATGGGCTGTAAGAAATCCTCCTCTGTCCTGGCTCTCCAAACAGCCCCAATTTGGATCCTGTCCGCACTCCGGCGTCTATTCCCAGTCTGTTTCTATACTGATATTCCAAACCCGGATATGATCTCCCCGAATACCGAGTGCTTGTGGCAGGAATGTTAAATTGTTAAGGACAGCGGTGGTATGTTTCGATAGAATATATCATACCGATTTCGGGGTTTATCGCGAGACAGCTTTGTTAGGATGTGCTGATTAGGTGCTCACGAATATAACTTCTAACCTCGGGTTAGAGGGGGGGAGGGAGCAGTTGAAAGATGTGTAATATAGTGAGGCGAGTATCTGTTCCTGTAGTGATGTCATGTGAAGTTTCATAACCAGATGTCCCTAGTGGCTCAAATGTCAACCAGAAAGTAACCCCTGTGCGGTTCATAGGAATCCAGAAATTTAGTTCCCATGACGAGGAGTTATTGTTGAACGGCACCTCATATAGGGCAGGAGAACTAACTACTCCTGCTATATGGGAACTAGGATACTGAAGAACCTAGCCTTACTCAACAAGGCGCTTAAGAAAAATTGGACCTGCTACGGGGCGGTGGAATTTGACTCTGGATTCTGCCCTTATCAATGGGGGAAGGTCGGCAATCAATAGGGTAGCAGAGGGCAAAGAAAAACAAAGACAAGATTTCACCTTTCCTCCTCTAATTGGTATGATAATAGCAAGTGCAATTTCTCAACGTTAGATAGACCCCGACTTACGGGATTTCTGTCGTCCGGTCCAATCTCAAAGACATATTTTTGGTAGATAGGTAGGAACTTTGGTCTTCCCTTCTTTCCTTCCTAACCCGCAGAGATTCCATAGTAAGGGAATCAAAAGGCAGGGTTAGAGTATGGTGGGGGAGACGTAATTGATTCCATAGTGGTATGGGAGAATACGCGGCACGGCGTCGTAAGCTACCGGTATCACAAGGTAGAATTTTTTAGTGGTAGAACGCCGTGGCATGTCATGGAACACCGAAAGCCAGGGAGATAGGGGGGAAAGTTTTGATGATTACCGGATATAAAGAAAGGGGTTTGCCCCCCCATCCCGATATTCATAGAATACAACAATCACCATTTGCGGACCTGATTAAAACTCCGCTCACTTTATTCAAACCATTTCAAATTCATCATTTGTCTCCCGATGATGTCCGCTGTCTAGAGTTTGTTCAAGAAATTCGGAGACTCCAAACGATCCTGATTACTGACTTTGTGGTTCTTCAGCATTTTCCTGCGGGAACACCCGTATGATTGCGACAATTTTTAACGGACATGGTGATGCCTCGCGATGATCCTATACGACTAGTGCTCGCCAAAATCAAAACCCTGTCCCCGAAGTATAGCCGGCGGTGGCAACACAGCAATTACACCGCTCTGGCAGCCCTGGTGACAGGAGATTGTGTTGATAGCCATTACCCATGAATCAAATATCCCTGGAAAACAGGGTTGCTGGTGATGTTAAGAGGTTATGAGAGGTGAGCATCAAGTTTTACAAGCAAGGTGTGGTTCGGTCGTTTACCCGTAAGTAAAGGTCAGGGATGGGCTTTTGATTCTAGCGTGTACGAGCCCAAGTCTGTGCAGATTTGGCATTGGATGGCTCCATGAGATGGTTGCTAACGAACAGGCAGAACAGAGCAAGGGGCCAGCCCAGCCGCTTGTGGCTGTCGGGGTGGGGGGCGGCGGCGGCGTTAGGGCAGGATTGCTGGGGAGGGCCTGGATTCGATGCAAGGAATGGGTTTGCCAGCCATCAGGGAAGGCGGAGCAGCTGCAGAGGGTGAGGTGGTCTAGGAGACGGGAATTACTATAGGGGTTGAGGGCCCCGTTGGTAGGGGACAGTGGGTTAGGAGTAGGCATGATGGCCGTGGATGCGGGGAGGGGCCAAGTAGGAGTACGGGTAAGGAAGCGGGGGGGGGTTCAATAAGTTCTCTATTTTATCAGATTTTTATGAGCCCTTATGACGTCAAGTAAAGCGTGAATTGTGATGTACAAAAAAAACTTTCTAGGTGACAAATATTGCCATCCCACAAAAACCAACACACTGAGGGGGGAATTCATGTCTAAAATAGTATGAGAGTGGAAGAAAGATACAGTATCACATACGTACTCAGGGGCTAACAGAAGTCGAGCGCGCTTCGAACAAGAGATGTGCGATTTGTATGTTGACTGAACCAGATCAGGGAATTGGAGTCATAATGAGCAAGAGTTTTTTGCCCCCTGCAAAATGTTAGGTCTACTCGGTAACCTCCCCCCCCCCCCCCCACTCCCGCTATTCGAGCATCCTCAAGCACTGCCCCCTCCCTACTCTGGGAGTACTCCACAGCTACAATTAGTTTAGAGGACCTGCTGTACTACCAATTTTCTTTCATACCTACGGGGGGACTTTCCGTGAGACTATGGCACCCGGATAGAACTGAAATTCTTGAATATTGGATAATAAGAGAGGGTGTATAGATGCAGTAGTCAGAAGGGAGGGGTTTCAAAAACCTCCTTTTATTCAAATCATCCATTGCAATGGAATAAAATATGTCTTTGGATACCGAGATGGTACCGACTTGATACCGGCTGCACCAATTTGGATATACGGTTTATATCTAATCTATTAAGGGGAGATATTTGGCCCGGTTTGACTATCTATGGGAAATCATATGTTCTGAGTTAGTAATTCGGCTTTTAATTCCAATGGGCTTTGCTCCTGGTAGACTTACAAGAATCCCCCTAGTAGTACATCCACTTTAGCTCCAATCTGAGTGATAGAGAAATATGTTGCTATTCTCATTACGCCTACAAGGAGCTAAATATGATTGATAGAGAGAATCAGTAGTAATGAGGGAAATCTTGCAAATAACACTAGAGCACAATTACTTGGACTAGAGTAGAAAAATAAGCTAAGGTAAACTCGGCAGTGAATCCTACGTACCTTATATATAGCTTGAAATACATGATAGAAGAAGATGCCAATAATTCTAAAATACTTACAAGACAACTCTAGAACTATTTATAACATTGCAGAAATATTTCTAGGCTGTTTGGGGGAGCAAGATGCATCTAAGAGGCTAGTATCCTTTGTATATAGCCAATTCAATCAATCTTGTCAATAATTCTTCAAGTACTGTAGTATTTACTCACCGCATCGGATTCTAACAG